GGCATACTCAGTGAGGAAGAAAGCAAGCACATAACAAATATTATGGCCATTAGCAACCGTCGAATTTTGTTCGTTTGGCGCAACGGGGTCATGCCCGTCCGGCGGACTTCCACCGAATGGTGCGACATTCTTCACACAAGTGCTCGACCTTTGCTTTCTTAAAACGGTTTGTATGTGCGAATGTGCCTATATGATTGCAGGATAATTTTATGCGTATACGCGATGTTGAATATTAGTGAAATGCAAGCGGGTGGGGACTTCACGAATTCGTGCAGTGCTGCGGGGCAGTACAGATGAGCGATGAGAAGTGTGTTAAAATGGAGCTTTTCAATGGCGCCTCCGAGTTTTACCGCGTGTACTCAGGCGTATTAAGAAAAACAGTAATTGCAAAAAGTTATATTTCGTCTATGGGCGCACGAAACAAACAAACTTTCTGATCAACAACACTAATGTAAAGGTGCGAGCTCGATGTATGCATACTTATTGGTTGCTACAGCTTGTTGAATTCGTACACAAGCATGATCTCCGAGCTTCGCAGCGTCGAGATTCCCAGCACTGGCTAGTCAACATACCTCGAAACGGTAACAGAAAGGCTGAAGTACAAAAATACAACAAGCATGCGTTAAGACAAGCTATCGTCTCGGGCTTGTGCTAAAGCTTCGAGGTCTGGCCATTTAGGTTAGCTTAGAGACCGCAAATGACGCTCTCGGGACCAGAAAACATAAAATAACGGCCGTTTATAGCCCACGCTCTGTGTATAATCTCTTGTCGACGTGTCGATCGAAACCGAAACTATGGCACTCTCCTCCCTGGCCAACTAGTTCCCAGAGTGCAACGCGCGCCGTGTTGCATGCAGGGCTTTATGGAAGTAGTCTATTAAAGAATTCAGTGATAAATGCAATGACTGGCAAGGCAAAGATTCTTGGTCTGTGGATAGCTTTTCCACAGTTTAAGCATAGTACCGGATTTTACAAAAAAAAATTACAGGGTCTGTTTTTTTTTTACCGCAAGAATAAACTAGGCATCGCCGAACGCTCATTTTCCACCCGAAGGCAGCGCTAGAGGTCACAACCAGATGTCAAAGTTCAGCCCGATCCGATACTTTATTCAAAATTTAAGTTATTTTCTGAAACGTTCATTGGGAAAATGGCGGCCGACGGAGCTTTCGAATACATGGAAGTCTATGGCACCAGAAACCGAAAACGGGCAAAAATGCGCTTCATTTTCCCGTTGAAATTTTCAGAAAATCACTTATAACTTTTGAATAAGGTGTCCGTTCGAGATGAAACTTTGGCATCTGGTTGTAACCGAGCGCTACCTTTTGGCGGAAAATGAGCGTTAAACGATGCGTAGTTTATTTTTGAGGTAATAAAAACTGTATTTTTTTTTTTGTGGCATCCTGTACCAGTCTTAATTTGGTGATTTGGTGATTTATGCGCGCAAGTAGTGGTGTGCAAAAATGAAAAAAGAAGCAAACAGGTACAGTTTGTTATTGTATAAAATATAGTGTAAGCACTCACATGGTACTTAAGAATGAAACAGCCCTACATTTTGCACTAGCAATGAGTGTATCGAAAGTTAAGGGAGCATCAAAGGCTAAAGCTTGTACACATATACTGCTCAGGCCATTATGTTTGAAAGCTCATAGTACTTTATTACCCTCAGATTTGGTGTAAGTCCTTTCCTCATTGCTTACAAGAAAAAGAAGGAAGCATTCTAAGCTTGGGTTGATAGAAAAACTCCACCTGCTGACAGCTACCAATCATCTCGGCGCCGATTATGAGTAGTATTCACTGCATGCCGACGGTCGCGTGCTTAGAACGACTTTTTTCCCACGTTATTTCATACAATCACAATTGTTCTTGACAAACAACAATGTTTACTCAGGCAAGCGGGCATATGTGAGGCTTATAATATTTTGTATTGATTGTGGCACACGTGGCAAGTTGCATAGGCTTTTTTACAATCCGCGAAATAGAATGCTCCTGGGTTACCTTGGTCTCTAATGCATGTAGCACACAAAAGAGCACGAACTGAATTGCAGTGGGAAAATAAAATAAATGATGATAAACAAGCGTGTAGTCACGCGAAAACTGAGGGCATTGCACATATACAGAAGATAAGCTTTGTTTCACTGAATACATTACCAGTAAAGTATTTGGTTTTGCCCTGCGAGCGAAGCGGAACATACAAGTACGAGCATACTGCCCTGAACTATACTTCCAGGGAACAAACGAACCATCCAAAGCATCGAGTTCGTTTTTATAGCTCTTGGTACGCTCAAACCTTTAAAAACACAATTAAAATCAATTCTATTATTTTAATTATTTTTATTAAGTGCGCCTATGTGTTTTATTTTTTTTTGTCTGTTGCGTTCACTTGCCATTTTCTTAGATATATAATATTTTTCCAGAAGTCCGACACCTATAGTCTGGTTCATCATAAGTAAGGGCCCAATAATCAAAGATGTAGACAAAAAAAAAAAAAACAAGGAACGCGAACAAGCGAACACCCATTAAAAATGCAATGTAACGGCACATTCAAAACTATAGTCGTTAGTTTTTTAGAGAGCAGCAGTTTCGTAGGGCGACATTGTTACCCGTTGAAGGTTATAAAACGTGCAGTACAACTGTTAGCTCTGGGTCTTTAACGTGCATTACGCAGTGTATGTGGTACACGATCGCACGACGGTAGGATGCAGATGGACGACTGAGCCCAGGCTCCCTGCCAACGTTACTAAAACACTCAGTTGGGAAACTCGCCGTCGAAACCTGGGCCGCTGGCGTCCACCGAGACCGAGCTAAATGCGACAACAGCGCCACTCTTTATCATTTGTCTGTACTGTGGTCACCTTGAGCTTTTTGAAAGCCTGTTTTTGCGTAAAAACAAACGAAAAAGACTCTTTTTGTATGAAATTTATTGGAGTTTAGTACAAAAAGAGGGGCGCGTTATGTTTTTAAAATCTTTAGTTTGCAGGGTTTTGCAGCACAATTAATATTGTTTTTATACAACCATGCCTCAGCGGGCCTTTCAGGTAGCGCGTCCAGCCCTAGGTGCATTTTAACTTCGGTAGTTGAACGCGGCGCGTCCGCCGGGGAGACGGGAGTGGCACCCCTGTAACCTCTACCGCTGTATCTGTTCTTAAAGCCAAAATAGAAGACCCGTGCAGTTCCTCGAGTGGCCGCTGCGGGAGAAATGGTGGCGTTGTGTTCGTCATTAGCTCGGTGCTCGGAGACAGATTGGGGCCACTTTTTCAAAACTGTCTCTATGGGAGTTTCCCAACTGAGTGTTTTAGTAACGTTGCTCCCTGCTAAAGCCCCTTGATAAAGGCGTTTTTTACAAGTACCGCCAACCATTGTTGGGGAAACACGCAAGAGACGTGCCACGTGCGGGTGCTCCGCCGCCATTCGCTTTCAAGGGCCAGTCATTTTAGTGCTGTGCCGCCATTTGCCTCCAAGGGCCACTTGAGACACGGGCCTCGTGTACTGGCACCTTTTGAGGTTACTTGAAAGACCAACGCAAACACATTGAGCGGATTTAGTCCCTACACGTTCCGCCAACGTTGGGTTCCGAAGCGTGAGCTCCATGCTTTGAACGGAGCTCGCGCTGGAGCATTTCTCCACGTGCTCTGATCTGCGGTGCCACACCACACTCGGCCAACGGTCCCCCCCCCCCCCCCCCCGCACTTGGTTTAGCCTGTGAGCTAAACCAAATGAGCTATGCTTAGAGTATCGGCACTTTTCCCTCAAAAATGATTGTGGGTGCCGCCATCTTGGTGGTCAGTAACCAATCAAACGCAACTGCCGATCGTCATGATTCAAAAGTTTCGGTGTCAGGCAGCTCGCGTAATATTGCTTTGCTTTGTCACGAACTGTTCAAACATTTGTGGAGGACGGAAAGGCGTTTCCTGTGATGTCAAAAGCTTCAGATACCTGACAACCATTATTTTAAGCACCAAGATGTCTATGACGCGTAACTTACTTAGTTGCTCTAGTTGAGCCCGACCGCATAGGCATAGAAAGAGAACAAACAGCTTGACCTTGCGCTCTTGGCGCTGCTTCAGTGGCTTTAACAGCCCGTAGCGTTGGCTGCGTTCCGAACTAAGGTAAAGCAAAGCAGATATTCAGATCTTAGGGTTTCACAAGACAAACCAACAAAAATCACTTAACACACCCTAATAAAAAAAAATTGCGGGTTTATTTTGACTAATTGGATATCTTTTGACGTGCAGCCGAAATCTCAGATTGTCCTCCGTCGGATTGCGGGCACCTCCGATATTTAAACCCAACAAATATAGATTTATGGGCCAGCGCGTTGGGTTCAGAGACACTGAGGCGATTTAATGCTTTGTGTTTTGTTTTAATATCATTGCCACTTAAGAGCCACCTGTAGTGATGTAGATTTTATGTTTGCGCGTGATCACCGTATATAGCGGCGGCGACGAAGAAGAGGAGGTAGAATAAAGCCAGTGAATGGGAATGGCTGCCCGATTCTTATTCTGCCCGCCGCGGTAGCGCTCTGTTTGTTCAGCACACTTGCAACGCTACATTGGCGACGAGGATGTGTTAGGCAGTCTTCAGCTACTGTTCTGGCAAGTGTCCACCCTCTACGACCTCGCAGCGCGCCGCCGCTGTATCACAAGCCGCTAGCTTCACAGCCAAGCCTACTGTTCTCCACTAATGATGACCCTCATTCCAACCTCACTGCCCCCTTTTGACTTGGATGCCACTGACCCAACTAATATCGGCACCGAATGGCGAAAGTGGATCACTCGCTTTGAAAACTTCCTCATCGCTTTCGATGTGAAGAATGACGCACGCAAACGTTCTCTCCTGCTCCACTATGCGGGGGAACGTGTCCATGAACTCTGCGATACCCTTCCTGACCAGCAGAGTGGTCCCACTTCAAGTACGACGCCAGATGCTGATACACCCTCAGTAACGACCAGAAACTCATACCAATCTCTCAAAGACAAGCTTGACGCATACTTCAATCCCCGCATGAACACCACTTTCGAGGTCTTTCAGTTTCGTCAGGCAAAGCAACTCGAGGGCGAATCTGTCGGCCAATTCTCGATAAGGCTTCGACTGCTTGCCCGCAATTGCGGTTTCGCGAACGCCGACGAGGAAATCAAGAACCAGATCATATTTGCAACGACATCTTCACGCCTACGACGAGTAGCCCTAAGGCAAGACCTTAACCTTCCATCACTTTTGAATCAGGCTCGACTCCTCGAGGATGTCAACCGAGCAACGACTGCCATGGAAGGGTCGTCAACAACCACCACGGTTCAAGCAATCTCTGGACAGCCTCGCTACGGCCATGCAGGCACGTCCAGAAATGCCCAACAACCTCGCTGCTTCTCTTCCCGTCTGAAATATGGAGGCAGCGCACAACAACGCACCCACGTCTCGCCTCCCCAGTGTTTCCACTGTGGTGCTCCCTGGCCCCACGAGGGAGGACAAGTAAACTGCCCCGCCAAATTTGCCTCTTGCAAAGCATGTGGCAGAAAAGGACACTATGGCAAGGTGTGCCAATCAGCACACAAGCCTATCTTCCAGATTTCTCATGATTCTGACTCCGACGAGAGCGTTTATGCTGTCGGAACTATATCACAAGTATCGCACCAAAACCTCCCAGAGGTTCATCTGCAGGTCAACAACACCCCTATAACATTTCTTATTGACACAGGTGCTTCAGTATCGGTCATTGGAACCTCTACCCTTAACAAGCTTGGAGCACTCACAAAACTCCAACAAGCAGGCACGCGTATTTACGCCTATGGATCGGATGCTCCGCTACCAATCATAGGAAAGCTCAGTGTCACGCTGAAGTACAGGGACAGCGACACAACAGAAGACATGTTCGTAATAGAGGGAACCGTGAAGTCACTGCTGAGCTTCGCTGCTGCAAATAGACTGGGCCTAATCCAAATTACTTACGCCATCCAAGGACACTCACAAAAAGATGCACGCTCGAATGGAGAGGTGCCCCCAAATTTGCTCGAGACCCCACTCGCTGCTTTTCCCGAGTTGTGTGCGGGTGTAGGCAAACTAAAAAACCTCCAAGTACACCTCCACATTGACAAAGCCATTGCCCCGGTTGCTCAGCCCCATCGCAGAATCCCTTTTGCAGTGCGAAGCAAAGTAGAAGAGAAGATAAGCCAGCTCTTGGCCCTTGATATCATCGAAGAAGCAACCGGACCTACTCCATGGGTTTCACCAGTCGTAATTGTGCCAAAGCCGCACAATCCAGAGGACATTCGCCTATGCATCGACATGAAATGTGCGAATAGGGCCATTCTTCGCGAGAGGCACGTCTGCCCTACCATCGACGACGTGATCACAGCGCTGAACGGATCAACACTCTTCACGAAGCTTGATCTAAAAGATGGGTACCACCAACTAGAACTTGATAATGAATCAAGAACAATCACAACATTTGCAACACACAACAAATTGTACCGCTACAAACGACTTATGTTTGGAATTAACGCAGCTGCCGAGGTTTTCCAGGAAACCATCCGTCAAGTACTCAACGGCATACCTCACGTCCTCAACATCAGTGATGATATACTTGTGTTTGGCAAGACAAAGGATGAGCATGATCAGGCTCTCCAGGCAACTCTCGAAAGGTTGACAGAGAACGGCCTCACAGTTAATCCAAAAAAATGTCTCTTCGCACAGAAAGAACTCTGTTTTTTCGGTCACATTTTCTCTGCTTCTGGAATCAGAACAGACCCCCAGAAAATCGGAGCACTAAAAAAAATGCCGGCCCCTGCCAACGCTCATGAAGTTCGAAGTCTGCTTGGTACAGTAAATTACAGCGGACGCTTCCTACCTAACCTTGCTGATATAACGTACCCTCTTCGGCTTCTCACAAAAAAGAACACCAAGTGGGTGTGGGGACCAGAAGAGCAAGGTGCTTTGGATACGCTGAAAGAAAAGCTGTCTGAGATCCCCAACCTTGTCTTTTTTGATGGTACAAAAGAAATAATTCTCACGGTCGACGCGTCGCCTGTTGGCCTTGGTGCCATACTAGCACAGAAGGAAGGCAACAACACCGAGATTGTCGCATATGCTAGTCGGGCTTTGACCCCCACTGAAGCACGGTACTCTCAGATTGAACGTGAGTTGCTTGCAGTTGTCTGGGGGACAGAGCACTTTCACCTGTATCTTTACGGTAACAACTTTCTCATTCGCACAGACCACAAACCCCTTGTCTCCATCCTCACCAACCCACGGGCGTGTCCGTCTGCACGAATTGAACGCCTCGTGTTGAGAATCCAACAATACAACTTCAGAGTGGAGCACACGTGTGGAATCAACAACCCCTCGGATTACCTGTCTCGCCATCCCATGCCGAGCTCCCCTGCTGACGCCCGCCTGGCTCATAGCACTAATGCATATGTCAACTTCATTGCCCACCACAACATTCCCAAAGCCATGCATGACTCGTGCAGAAGTAGCTGCCGCCACTCTAAACGACCCTCATATGCAAAAGGTGATCGCTGCCCTCAGCAATCCTGCCAGGTGGAACGACCCAGCACTCAGAGAGTTTATATCCGTACAGCACGAGCTCTCTCTGACGGACAGCGGCCTACTACTGAAAGGCAATTGCCTCGTTCTACCGGCTGCTCTCCAGCAACAGGCGATATGTCTCGCTCACATTGGGCACCAGGGCATCTCCAAAACAAAAGCGCTCATGAAGCGAAAAGTATGGTTTCCCCACCTAGACAGCATGGTACAAACTACTCTTAAAAACTGTATGGCGTGTCAAGCAACCATCCAACATCAACACTCTGACCCCGTCGCGATTCCATCGAAGCCAAATCAACCTTGGGAGGCGCTCTCACTTGACTTCGCGGGGCCTTTCCCTAACGGCAAATACATAATGGTCCTAATGGATGATACGTCACGTTACCCTCTCGTGGCGGTATTATCATCGTTAGCGGCCCCAACTGTCATCACCAACCTTATGAAGATCTTCAGTACCTTCGGGATTCCTAAGGTCGTCAAAACGGATAACGGGCCTCCATTCCAAAGCCTTGACTTCAAAAACTTCGCTGACTCGCTAGGATTTCGCCATCAGCGCATCACGCCTTGCTGGCCGCAAGCGAACGGTGAGGTCGAACGATTCATGCGCACACTTAAACGGTTTCTACAGGCGACAACGTTGGAAAACTCTACGTGGACTTCCGAATTGAGCAAATTTCTAATGGCCTATAGGGCGACACCTCACTCAACGACAGGGAAAACGCCCTTCGAACTACTCTTTGGAAGACCTATGGGCTACCTCCTTCCCGATTCCGCAGACACTAACAACGTGCCACAGGAATGGCAACACAAGGATTACGAAAATCGAAAGAAGCACAAGATTTACGCAGATGAACACAGACATGCGAGAGCCCACAACTTCGAAGTCGGAGATCGGGTACTGTGTAGACAGCCTCCGTCGAACAAGCTCACTCCCCCTTATGACCCGCAGCCATATAAAGTGATCGAAATCAAAGGGACGCAGGTAACTGCTCAGAGAGATCAGAAAATTATCACAAGGAACTCAAGTTTCTTCAAACTTCTTCCCACGAGTGCGAAGCTCAGAGCACATAATGAATTGATCAATGCGGATGATGCTGAGGAAGAAAACGCCATGAACACGCGTCATACTCACCCTCACCAGGAAGCTCAACAACACATCGACGTGGGGGAGAGACGAGACTTGCAACCCAACGAAGCTCAAAGATCCAGTGAAGGACCACGTCCGACTCCGGAATTTGAACAACAGCTCGACGTGGAGGAGGACGAAAGAAACCAGCGATTCCTTGAAGCCCCCGGCCCTGATCTATCAGGAACAGCACGACCGGTCCGTACAAGGTACCCTCCTACAAGACTCAGGGACTACGTCTGCTCCTGAAAAGCGTTTCGCTCTGTTCATTTCTTTGCTCCTCGGGGGAAGTGATGTAGTGATGTAGATTTTATGTTTGCGCGTGATCACCGTATATAGCGGCGGCGACGAAGAAGAGGAGGTAGAATAAAGCCAGTGAATGGGAATGGCTGCCCGATTCTTATTCTGCCCGCCGCGGTAGCGCTCTGTTTGTTCAGCACACTTGCAACGCTACACCACCGAGGTGGTTTTTGAAACAAAATATAGTCAAACCATTCCGACAAGCCTAGTTTGATTGCGAAAATGGTGTTTCGATGTGAAAAAAACTTTAAAATATTTTTGCATACGTGGCGGAATGTGAAATGGCTGAATGCATTTCATGGCGCCCATTTCATTTGGATCGCGTCGGGAATGCGTACCGACGCACTGTAGAACGCGCGCAAAAGTAGCTGTGGTGCACCCGCTGCCTCGCGCTTGTGTTTCTAACATCTATGGCTCGCTCACTGCGGGCATCCAGGCATCTGACACCGTGACATCTGGCGATTTTTCTGTCTTTCACGTGGCGTTTCAAGCGGCAAACGACGGAAGATGCACATCAAGCTGTTCTTGAACACGTGTCGCCATCTATACTTTATATTAAGAAACTCCAATTTGCCGTAACTGAATGGGAAAAGTTTGAGTTCTTATAACATTTTAACGTGTAATATGTCAATATGGAAGTTCTGGAAAATGTAATATTGAAGGATGCTTCATAATTTAATGTCTCGTTATTTTGATTAGTTAACGTGATTCCGTTTTTATAGCGCCTTAAAATTATGCCATTTTAAACTTTATTTTTTATTTTAAAATATACACTATCTGTACAACTCGTTGCTTACTTTTTTAATTTATTGCACGCAACCAAACTCACACGTAAATTATCGTGGACAATGGGGCGTTATAACTCGAGAAATAATTTTTTCAACATTAGAGACTGCGGTCTATTAAAAGATAAATTGTTAACTAACAACTAAATGTAATCGTAATTTTTAGACATTAAAGGATTGTCGAAAAACAGCTCTTTAATTTGACATTAACTTTATAATTGTAAGTTACATAGAACGTAAGTTACAAGCCGTCAAAAAAGCACCAAAACGTCCTGCACGGTGGGGTCGCACCTTAAAATGTTTTATTATTCTCTAGATAAGAAAAGGCAAATGAACGCGCTAAGGAAGTTTCTGGAGTTGAATTTAGTGAAGTTTCAATTTGAGTCAAGAATTTTGGAAGAAAGCTTCCTTACTTTATTGAATCCGTATCTACAGTCGACTGTTCTAGAATTGGAGGGTCAAAAATATCTGCAAAAAGAAGGCGTATGTATAGCCTCCTCGGTAGCACCCACATTAGTTGAGATTTAACTCAACACCTTGGACAGAGTGGTACATGACAAAGTGAATGAAATGGCACCAGATGTAGGGTTTGTCAGAAGGGATGTTGATGACATCATTATTTCCAAGTTTAAGGACGGTTTATCAGAATCCTTAGAAACTTTGGTAAGAGCGACGGCCCCGGAACTAGAGTTCACTGTGGAAAAACGTGCAGAAGGAGTGCTACAGTTTTTGGATATACGCGTTCATGTTAGGGATGGGTTGTGCTGGGATTACGGGAAGCCAACGCAAACACCAGTCCTTTCCAAACATAGCTGTCGTTCAAAGATCGTCAAGGCGGAAGTAGTCAAGTCTCAAGTTAAAAATGCGCTGGATAGGGCGTGCTCCCATTACATGAATCAATCAGTATAGAGGGAGTGGAGGAGACTAAAAGATGCGGGGTATCAAGAAGCACTCATTAAAAGACTATTGTCCACACAGATCGAAGATGCGAAGAAAAAGCAGGAATCAAGGAACCGGAGAGCTGTTATAGCATATTTTCATGACATATCTCAAAACGTGAAGGCGTGTGCCCAAACGTTTGGTGTCGACATCGCTTTTACTACGAAGTTCAAGTGTCGACACGCGGAGGACATACACCATGAACCACTCTCATACGATTGAAAAAAGGCGATTTCCTTGTCGGTTAATGCCACAGATGGTTGGCTGACACAACGCTCGCCGAAGCGGGGTACACTAAAAGCTTGAAGTTTGGTGTCGACACCGCTTTTACTACGAAGTTCAAGTTAAGTAGATTGTCATTTCTTCAAAACGGACATAGAGGGTGAAAAAAACAGCACCGTGAAATATCACTATCTTGCGAAAAAGACGTAGTTTACGAGATACCGTTGGCCTGTGGGTTCAAGTATGTAGATCAGACATCAAGATGCATGAATGATAGACTAACTGAGCACAAACGGGACGTGAAAAACAGTGTCAAATTTGGAATTGGCTACACATATTCAGGAATGTAACAATTGTGCGGTTGGCTGGTCAGGAACAGAAGTGTTATGCAGAGAATGTAACGTTCAGTGAAAGAAACGATTAGAATAAATACGTCGGGCAACTGCGTCAGTCATGCTTCAATGCAGCTAGGACACTATTGCAAAATGCTTCTCAAAATGCGAATGTATTATTGTTTTTCACGCTTTAATTTTACGTTTTGTTTTTTTGTGTGTGTTTTGTTTGGAATGTCATTTCTGTATTTTTCAAGAGGGCATTGTATAAAGCCTGCGGTTCTGTCCTCGGTTTTGGACGTTTGCTGTCGTTCGTTTGTGTTTTCTCAGGAATCTCATTAAAGAGCACAATGGTGAACTCTTGAGGTTTAGATCGTCTTCTTTGTGGTTGTGCTAGAAAGCGAGAAGCGTATCGGTGTGCGTTGGCGGGGAAGTTGGGGCGTGGTTATAAAGAGCTGTCAGGCTTTAGACGTTGGCTGTCGTTCTTTTGTGTTTTGTTATTAACGTGATGCCTTGAGGCATAGAATGTCTTCTTTTTGGCTGTACTGGAAAGAGAGAAGCGTATCGGTGCGCGTTGGCGGTGACCTTGGGAGGTGGTTATAAAAGCTGTGGACGGAATAAAATTTGCTAGTTAATTTTGAGACGTTTGTCTATCCCCTTATTTTTGTGGTCTCTTATACTTTTTCTTCCGATTTTCCTACCCAGTCTCAGGATTTTAACATCATGATCAATGATTGGCAATTTGACATACAAATGTGTATGTCTTGGACGCAGCTAAGGGGTTTTCCTGAAGTGCGAGACTTGATCTTAATAATTATATTATGCACTGTTTTAAAAGAAGATCACCATTGCAGGGTTCGCTTTCTTGGGACACATTTTGGTAGTTTAGCAAGCTTAACAATCTTGCACCTACTGTGGAACATCGAAATGCTTCATACCGGAGTAATGATATACCTTTTTAATATGATGGGACAATTTCTTACCAAGCTGCGGCCAGTGGACGATGAAGGGGGAAATTGGGATGACTGGAGCAGTGAACTTCTCAGTAAACGAAATGTAATAGCTCGACAGTGTCTCAACCTGTGCTACCTAATTGAATGTTGCTCGACGCCAGCATACGGAGATTAAAAAATGCAAGCACAGTCACGATCGCCGTTTATTTTTAAACTGGAAATATTTTAAAAGCGTTTCATCGTAAGCTAGAAAAATTGTGAGCTGTGCCCCCATTTTAGTTGTTCTTCAGTCTCCCAAATTTTGACTAAAGCTAGTGTAGACACAAAATTCGTTTTTTTTTTTTCGATATCATTGCTTAAGCCGATGGTGGGAATTGTAGAATGAACATCTCTGGTGTTATGGTTTACTCATTTACAGTACCAGATCAAGCTCCCAGCTAGTCAATAGGCTTATTTCGGCATTGAAATTAATAACTATCTTGAGCGGATTCCTGAATATATTGACGTGTACTCCAGTTAAAAAAAAATATGGCAACTTTGTGTTTCTTTACTTTACGGTTACGTATGCAAATCACCTAAGGAAACAACTAAATAGGTTTGATACTTAACTCCGGCATCTTGTGCGGTGTCGTAGAAGGGGTTCGACGTGTAGGACGTATCACTAGATGCAGGATGCCCGAAAGAAGTAACACTGTTTTACTTATTGTGTCAGGTTCTTGCTGACACAATAGTATAGTAAATAGAAGACGGCGTGAACAAGAGTCAGAAGACCTTGAAAAACTGCAATGTCTTTTACATAGTTCGGTATAAGGTATTACGAAACTCTCGAATGTCCTAACTGTTCTAATAACAGGTAAAAAAAAAAACTTTCAAGATTAGTTAATATATTCTTTAGTTTTATGTTTCTATTTTGTTAAAAATTTTGGCGTCAGCTACATGTTCTTTTTAAAGAAGATTGCTATATTGGCCACGTAAAGGTTAATCCCTGCTGTCTGCTTTCAACGCCGATTATAAACTTCATAATTAAACAGAAAAACAACCTCGATAACTTAGCATCAACATTAAAGGAGCAGTGCAACGATATTCAATTGGAATGTTTCTCACTTTACACAAGCTTACTGGCACTAGTGGGACTCAAGGATACTCGCACGTAACGCCACTATCCAAAAAACTCCTTTGTTGCGATGTAATTTCAAGGACAAAAGCGATCATTTTCATTCAATCTCTCCTTTGCAAAATTTGATGACGTAACGTGGGGATCGCAGTACACCCCAATGACGATATTTGAATGCGGTTCATAGATTGGACCCGAGCATTGCGTGGGCACTAGATTTGGGCTCGTGATAATTACTAGCTCGAGAAGCATTCGGGTAGTGGCCCGTGTCCAATCGCTGCAACGACGACAATAGCCGAGCCATAACAATGTCTGTAACTCAGCGCGTGTCCTGTGCTTTGCCAACCCCAGCGCGTGGCTATGATCAACATTGGCGGCATAAATCGGCTCCCGATCACGTGGCCGCTTGTTCTGGCTTCGAGTTGAGGTGGTGAACGGTGCTCGTTTCTCTTTAATTTTTTTCTGAATCTTTTATTGCGTGGGGTGAAAAACGAACGCGTCTTTCATATGTCATTACCGTAAGGGATCGTTCTAAGCGGTATTTGCGCAAAGTACAAAAATTGTTACATCGCCCCTTTAAAGTAAATAAGACAACGGAGATTGAACCATTACGACGCTGTGCAAGGTGAAAGCTACTTAATCACCGCCTTTATTGATAGCAT